GCGGACTCGCCCGGCTTCCCCGTGACCATCTCGCCCCGCCCTGGGCGCTGTCGCGAACGAGTAGCCGTCCCTCGCACGTCCCTAGCTCGCGCGCGCCTCGCCGCCGTCCCGGGAGGCCGGTCTTGCGGAAGAGGAGTCGGGAACCCGGGGACGTTCCGGGCTTCGGGGGGGCGGGCCCTGGGCTGCAGCTCCGCCTCCGCCGTCCGCCCGCCCTGGGCCCGCCGGCCGCGGGCTCAGCCGCCCCCCCGAGGCGGAGCGGACGGGCTGCCGTGGCTGGCCCTGAGGGGCCCCTGCGTCCTCGGGGAGCCGGGGCCAGGGGCTCCGCCCGGAGGGGCTGGGCGCGGGACGCGGAGTCCTGACTCTTCCCACCTTAGGATGGGCGACGCCAGCTCCAGGGGCCTTTCCTGCGCCCCCGGGGCAGCCGGCGCCTCGGGTCTGAAGTCCTGGGGCTTTCCAGGCAGCGGGGGCTCACCTTCACGGGCAGAGCCGGGCCGCGAAGCCTGGGCCTCGCGGAGGTTCGGTCCGTGCAACGTTTAGGGAGGCTTTTGCTGTTGCCAAGACGGAAAAAGCTAGGCTGTCCCGGGGGCTCACAGAGTGGTCGGGAAGAAGACGAGAAAATACACCATGATGCGTGTCAGGCAGAGGTTGTCGTCGCGCATAAAACGCTGCAAAAGGGTGAAGGTGGAAAGGACTGTTTCTTTGGAGGAAGACCAAGCAGAAGAGGCGATGTTTCGGGGTCCTACAGAGTGCAGAGGCGCTTGCTGGGCAAAGAAAAGGGGCTGGCTCTTCCAGGAAGCAAGAGTCCCTGGTCACAGGCCTGCAGGTGTTTCATGATGCTAAGAACAAACCACCCACGCCGCGGCCATGCCTGGTCTGGGTGTCAGAATACAAGGTGAATGAAAGGCCCCTTTTCTCAAGGAGCAGTGAGGGCTAGTGGTAGAGAAAGAAGAGAGACTGCAGACAGACTGTGGTAGGTCTCTTGTGTGGTGCTGAAGGTGCCGGACGTTTTCTCATAGGACAGCGGGCTTTGTTTTGAGTGTGGTGAACGTTCAGTGGCGTCAGGTACGTTCCGATTGTTGTTGCAGCCATCACCACCAACCATCTTCAGAGCTTTTTCATCTTTCTAGACTGAAACTCTGTCCCCATGAAACAGCCCTCCACCCCAGTCCCTGGCAACCACCACTCTGCTTTCCGTCTCTGTGAATCTGGCCACTCTAGGATCTAAGTGGAATCGCGCAGTCTTTGTCTTTTGTGACTGGCTTCCTTCACCTGGTCTGCTGTCTTCGCGGTTCACCCACATTGTGGTGTGTGTCAGCAGCTCCTTCCTTCTGAAGGCTGAGCGATATCCCGTTGTGTACGTGGAGACCACGTTTGTTCATCTGCTCATCTGTTGATGGACTCTTGGGCTGTGTCCACCTAGTGGCTACCGTGAATGATGCCGCTCTGGACGTGAGCATACAGATATCCATTCCAGTTCCGACTCTTGCTGCCTTTGGTCACAGGACAGTATTTAAACAAAGATTTCACCAGCCAGGATTTTTTTTTTTTTGAGTTGGGGGTCTCACTCTCGCCCAGGCTGGAGTGCAGTGGCACCACCACAACTCACCACAGCCTCGACCTCTTGGGCTCAAGTCATCCTTCCACCTCAGCCTCCTGAGTAGAGGAGCTCCAGGCGCACACCACAACATCCAGCTAATGTTTGTAATTTTTTTGTAGAGATGAGGTCTTGCTATGCTGCCTAGGTTGGTCTCAAACTCCTGGGCTCAAGCAGTCCTGCTGGCTCTTCCTCCCAAAGTGCTGGGATGATAGGCATGAGCCAGCTGGGCTCGGTGGCTCAGCCTGAAATCCCGCGCTTTGGGAGGCTGAGGTGAGTGGATTGCCTGAGCCCGCGGGTTCGAGACCCACCTGGGCAACTTGGTGAGACCTCATCTCTACAATAAATCAAAAAATCAGCCGGGCGTGGTAGCGCACGGCTGTAATTCCGGCTACTCGGAAGGCTGAGGTGGAAGGATCGCCGGAGCCCAGTGGGTCGAGGCTGCAGTGGCCAGGAGCGAACACTGCACTCCAGTCTGGGTGACAGAGTGAGACTCCAACTCAAAAAAATAAAAATATTTTAAAAATAAAAATAAAAGATAGGCATGAGCCACCGCATCTGGCCCACCCAGGATTTTACTGAAGTTCTTTTGTAACGTTGTCACAAAATGATATTTGATTTTTTCCCCAGCCCAAAAATTAATGCAGTATTGAATGTATCGATATGTCTCATCGAACCTGCAGGTTTACCCTCCTGGTGTGTGGGAGGGTGTGGGAAGTGGAGGTTCTTCTCCCTCCCACCAAGAGTTACAGCTGTTGATAGTAAGAATCCAGTTTGCCCAGTTTACTTTTGATTTTTTTTTTTTAAGAAATAAACAACTCACATATACTACTACCACCCAGAGACAGCCATAATTTATATTTTCATAATAAACTTCCATATTTTTCCACGCATACACACTCACACATAAATATGTTTTCTTTATCAAAGTAGCATACTGATGTACTTAAAACTTCTTATACATACACATTTATAGCTGGACTAAATATAGTTAATTAGAATAATTGGAATAAAGGAGAGGTAAGTGTCATATAATCATTGGGTAAGGAAGGATGTCCTAAGTACAACTTCCAGGGCAGTTAACCACAATGGAAAAAAAATAGATAGTTGACTATATAAAAACTAAACACTTGTGCAGGGGGCCTGTGGTTCCAGCTACTCGGGAGGCTGAGACAGGAGGATCGCTTGAGTCCAGGAGTTCCAGGCTAGCCTGAGCCGCATAATGAGATTCCCTTCTGGGGGGAAAAAAAAGGCAATTGAAATGGAAAATACTGCAACAAGTATGGCACATGATTAATATTACAAGGCTCAATCAAGTGAGTTAGGCAAGGATGAATACCCAAGTAGGCTAGAACATGAGCAGGTAATTCACTAGGAAAGTGGCCGGTAAACCCTTGGAGCAATGTTTAGCCTCACCAATATCTGAAACCACGCAAATCATCCTAGATGTAGTTGTTAGCGCATGGACTTGACCTCGAGTGAGTTGAAGCTTGGGTCTGTCAGTTCCTGGATTATGATCCTGAATAAATGGCATGACCTTTAAGCCTGGATTTTTCTCATCTGCGAAATCAGGTCACGGAGACACACAGAATGATGGTGAGAGTTAAATCTGGTGAAACATGTGCCTGGTGGACTGATAGTGAGCACTGCGTCCTGCCTGGACTCAAGGCTGAGTGCCCAGCGGAGAAGATGGCCAGGCCAGACGCCCTCAGCCACTCGCAGGCAGCACTTTTGCCCCACTGCTGACAGGAAGCCCTTTGCCGCTCCTGTGCGCCATCCACATGGTGAAGGGTGGAAGCGGGGGCCTGCGAGAGGCCCTGCACACTTGGGGATGAGTTCCCCTCAAATACGAGTCAGGAAGGACTCCAGGGAGCCGGGCTCCAGAAGAGCGAACTGGACAGGGAAGGGGCATGGGGCTCTTGCCCGCCAGACACACACTCACCCACGGGGGTGCTGTCCGTCTCACTACGCGCCCGCCGGCTCTGCTCGCCCGTCTGTAAATGAAAGGGAGGCTGCATGGTGCTTAGCAGATGCTTGTGGCACGACCCAGCTGGAGCAGCGGGGCTGGGAGCCTCTGGGCGTCTCCTCCGAGGGACATCGTGTCAGTGTTAACTCATTCTCTCAATCAGAATCTCAGGCTTGGGGGATAAAGGCCTCCTGCCCAGCAGCAGAGACAGGCGGTCATCAGAGAGTCACACAAAGGGAGGTAAAGTCATAGCAGAGGAAGCGCATGAAGAAAATACACGGGCTGGATGGGCACGGCCCATCGAATGGGCACGGCCTGGCATGTGCAGGAGGAGGCAGGGCAGCACGGGCCGGGGGTGCGGGGTCAGGAATCCCGGGGGTGTCCTGCGCGCGAGATGGCATTAGGAACTGTGGAGAGCAGCAGAAAGTCCGTGAGGAGACAGATGCTCGGGGAAGTATCAGAGTGTGTGATCAGTGCTGTTGTGGGTCTGAATCAGGCTGAGGGGTGCGAATGAGGATGTGATTAGTTTCCCCAAGAGGGCTGGCGGTGATAGTTGGGAGGACTTCCGGGTGAGGTGACATTTGAGCTGGGGTTTGAAGGGAAGGAAGCAGCATGCCCCTGCTGCTGGTCGAGGAAGCGGCAGAAAAGGACACGTTCGGAGAAAGCGCCAGAAAGGATGTGAGTCTGGGTCCTGCTTTCAAGTGGTGGCTGGTGATGCTGGCTGGGAATCTGGGGGCCTGGAGGTTCCCTGCTCCCGAGACCAGTACTGTCTCCCCCAAGTGGGCCCTGACCCGCAAGGGACTCGAGGTAAGGCACCCTCTGCTTTGTGCGCAGGGAGGAGGAAGGTGCACTACCTGTTCTCAGACGGCAGGGAGATGGCGGAGGAATACGACGAGAGGACCAGTGAGCTCCTTGGTGAGTGACGGGCTCCCAGCTGCCCCCGGAGTGCTTGGGCTGACCTGGCGCAGTGGGCATCCCCAGCCCTGGCTGAGGGCAGCCGGGACCTAACGTGGATGCCAGGGAGACCGCAGCCCTACCTCACCGGGACCCCAGAGTGGGCCTCGGCCTCGGCCCAGGGGTCCTGCTGCAGCCCAACCCCTAATAGATGGGAGGCCTGGCAGCGGGCGGGTGTCGCAGGCGAGCCTCATGGCCCTGGTCCTGCTCGCTTTTTGAAGCCACACCTGCAGCAAGCAAGAGTCCCAGGGGAGCCTCTGACCCGCCTCGAGTGACGCTGGGACCGCCATCTTCCGCGGAGTGTCGAGTCGTGGCAGCAGGCGGTGTCTGGCAGCACTGTATTCCCCACGGCGCGCCTGTCCCCTCAGAGTGGGCACGGGGAGGGGCTGCAGCTTGGGTTTCTGGGAACCAGGAATGGGTGCCTTTCTGTTCCCAGGCACGCACGTCGGCACATGCCGGCTCCCCGAGCCGGGTGGCTGTCAGCCGTGGGAGCTGCTCTCTTTATTAAGTTCCGTCTGAAATGCTGAGACCAGTGATGGGGTCAGGGGCTGGGCTACTTTCTTGTCGTTGTTCTTGACTTTAATTCCTTCCTGGGCCTGACCGACAGGTGGTATTGGTGAGGGAACTGCTTCTTGCCTTTTCTGGCAGCTCGTAAATGTCTAGAACCGACAATGTGGATTACGTGGGCTTGCCTTCTCGCAGTCCCCAGCCTTGAACCGTGCGTCCTGCGCATGTTCGGTCGCACCGTGAAGCGCTGAGCCCTCCTTATTACGAACTGCTCGGGCTCCAGTCCCCGCTGGTTTAGCCTGGTGCTATTAAAATCTTGATGTGTTTAGCATATGACACTGATTCGGTGGAAACCAATACAGTAGTAATATCCTTGCAGTGCGTCGTAATTCATAGCGCTCCCGGGGGATGACAGCCATGGAATGCCTAACGGGTGGACTTATGGGAGCAGAGGCACGTGGGCTGACCATTGCCATGACCAGGCTGGGGAGGGGACGGCTCCGGCCCCTGCCCCCAGCGCCACCTCGCTCCTCCACAGCGAGCCCAGAACACGGCTCTGCTGCGGTGGCTGCAGAAACAGACAAATAACCCAGGCCTCTGTGGTGCTTGGACATGCACTTAAAATTAAAATCAAGTCCGGCCTCTCCAACAGCAGCACTCTGGGCCCAGCATCCCACGGGACCCTGTCGCGGCCGCTGGTGGCAGGGGGAGTAGACCGAGGCCTCCAAACTCCTCCCTGAAAGCAGAGACGCGGAAGACGCTGCTCGAGGAGGGCTTGCAGGAGGGCCTGTCGGCTCCTGGCGCCGTGACACCGTAGCTCTCCCCGGGCGCACTCCGGCTTCAGGCGAGCCTTCTCGCGGGTCTCCCTCACCGAAGCCCGAGAGGCAGGTGCTGCGGCCCCGTGTTCCGGCAGAAGCAGCGGGAGCTGTAAGAGGGCAGGCGTGCGGGGTCGTGGAGTCATGGAATGGGTCGCCTCGGAGCCGGGCGAGAGGCCTTGCCGTGTTCACCCGGGAGCCATGTGTGAGTCCACAGCGGCACGTGCCTGGAGCTGAGCGTGTTCAGACCCCGCTTTCCTCTGCTAACGTTCTCCTTCCCAGAATGGCCCGGGTGGGGGCTGGTGGGCAGAGAGCAGCACCGCCTTGAACGCGGGCTGGCCCTGGGCGGCAGGTCCTTTCTCGCGCCTCCTCCACCCAGCTGCCCTTCAAGTGCGGCTCCCCCATCATTTTCGGTGTGGATCATCCCAGGGCCCGAGCTGGCCGCGGCGTGTGCATGCTAGGAAGTACAGTAAGGACGTGGTTTTTGTGGCAGTATATAGAAATCATTTCCATTTTTCCAGCAAATTATACAAATTTGATAATCGGCCAAACTGGTTTTCCATTAGAAAAACTCAGAAAATAATTGACGGAGAAAGAATTGCCAACAGGTGGGCGCCGCCTGGGACCGAGCTCACACGCTGCTAGTAAGCATGTCAGCGTCATGTTTTCTGCCCCCTCCTCCCTCGTCCCCACTTCATGCTGCTCGTTCCCACCCCCTGCAACGAATGCTGTGGATGCTCTTGGGGGAAGAGACTGAAGGCCCCAGGAGAGCAAGCAGAACGTCCACCAGCCTGAGAAGATCGCGGCGGCCAGGCTGGAGGGCAGGCCTGTCCCAACCAACTGCGTTCGGATTCCCGGCTTACTCCGCTTTGGTGTTTGACCGCCAGCCTCCCCCACCCCACCCCTTGGGCCGCGCTGGGAGGATCTGGAGCACTTCTGTCCTGAGCACTGCGCTGGCTTTGTGAAGACCCTCCAGTTCCCTTCGGCCTCCTCTGGGACGGACCGTGGCAGCTGTTCAGTAGCCACAGAGCAATGTTGCGGCGTTTCAGGGCAGAGAAGAAGATTCCCGCATCCAGTTTAAGCTGCAGGGATGTTCAGGGAGGGGAATGTAATTATCCACCCTGGAAGTGGGCCAGGGCTCGGGGCATGGGGAAAGAGGCCTTCGGGACGCCCACCGAAAGCGGGGCCTCCCTTGGCAGCCTGGGACCGCAGGCTGCTTCCTGCTGACGTAGGAGAGGGCCCCAGGGCTGCCTCCTTCCTGTGTTTGCCCTCAGATGCTACACAGGGTCACCGGAGTCTCCTTCCCAGGGACTGGCCGTGGCTCAGCCCGGACAACATGGCAGCGTCCCGGAACTGCTGGCACACACCAGCTTGGGTTTTACGTCCAATCAGATCCGAGTGACAGCAGGTGGAAACAGTCTTCCGTTGCTACAGGAGCTGTCCTTCGGTTCAGGGACAGAGATGGGGACAGAAGCACAAGTGTGCATTTGAAACTAAGGACTTCGCCAGAGTCCTTTATTGGATCTCATCTCTTGAAGGGATGGGAAGGGACCTTTCTTCTGCATTCTAACAAAGAATCTAATTCCTGAAATGTTAAGACAAATAGGTGAATCAGCCAAGTTCCCGAGACCCGAGCTGCTGGTAAGGTCAAAAGTCAGGGAACCAGCAGCTGACTGTCTTCCTTCTCTGAGTAGTTCTTGGGAAGGTTCTGTGTGAAACCCACCATTTCTTGGATTGAAAGAGCAGACAGGAAATCCTGGGGGCCGTGGCCTTCCCCGGCCACCCTGCTGCTGCCCGTGCCTGGGACACACGATGCTACAAGACCCGCCACGGAGCACCTACCGGCCCGGCCCGGAGAGCCCAGCACTTGTCAGATAAGCAGAGCCGAGCCTTGACGGCCAAACCGAAAACGGAGCCCCACTCCTTAAACAATGGAAGTCTTTCTAAATCCTGCAGGTGCTTATTGAACACTTCCGGTGGTGATTCAAATTCTGGACTTGGCGTTCGGAGACCTGAAGTTTAGCCATGGCCTTTGTGAGTTAGTCTGCCTCTGTGAGCCTCGGGGACTCGCCACCCTCTGTCCCTGGAAGGTACTGGCGAGAGCTGAAAGAGAGCAGGCCGGCAGGAAGTGTCTTTCTCATTTAACAGTTCAGGCACGGGCTGGCTCTTTCCAAAGGGGCCCCACCTGGAAACCCGGCGGGGACTGTGCCCAGCACAGAGCGGTGCCCCCAGGGTCCAGGGTGCTTGTTTGCCTCACACTCTGTGGTCCCGAGGGTGTTGTTCTGACACTGCCCTCCGAGGCAAGCTGGCCCTGGGCGCTGTTCAGTATGCCTGAGAAAGCAGCGATTTTCCTGTCCTGTTCACGTGGCATTTTGCAGAGCCTGAGGGAGCCTCTGGGCATGGTCTCTGCTGTGGTGTGGAGTCGGGCACCTGGATCTTCCCACAGCTGCTGCTCGGAGGCATCTGTCACTTCCGAGTTTGCGACTGTGACAGAGGCCCCCAGAAGGCTGGCTTCCGGTGACGTGAGGTATCACAGTGCGTGGATGTGGGTGTGTTCCTGGTCACAGTCCATTCACTTGGGAAAGAAGCAGTTGTGGAAAAAAGTGGCCTATAAAGCATATTTCCCCGTTTTACTCTTCCTTATTAATTTTCATTATAAACTTGGAAATGTGTTTCCAGGGAGAATTTTTGGCCCTAAGATGCAATAAGATCACACTGCAGAGTGCAGCCCATCTTATGAAAGCACAAATTCAAGGGGAAAGTCTAGTTTGACAGCACACCGTTCTGCCTGTGTGCTCACGTTCACAGGGAGGGCGTTTGGGTTTGGCACAGCTGCCCGAAAGGTCTGAAGGAAAGCACCCTCACCGAATGCTGGCCTCCAGGCCTGGAGGGAGGAGCAGCCCACAGGGACAGCTGTGGCAGGGCTGGTCTTTTGCAGTGACCGGCTGGAGGGCATCAGAGGCAGCAGCCCTCACGATCCCCAGTGTAGCAGGAAGGGAGGAGACCAGGGAGGGCAGTGCCGTGGCCCAGAGAGGTCCCCTCTTAGGGACGGACTGCCGAAAGCAGTCTCCATGATGTGGCCGAGCTGGTCCCCGAGTCTCAGCAGGGCCCCAGGGAATGTCCCCTGAGCTAGTTTCTCGATTTGTGACATCTGTGACATGTGCCTTTCCTCAAATTGTAGGCGAGCAGTGTAAAATGGAGATGCTCGCTTGCACTTGCGTCATGAAAGAGTTCCACTTTACAAGATATTCGCGTTAGGTCTTTCACAGGTAGTGCATTTAATATATGGGACGTGCCCAAGGTTTTGCTTGATACAGCTTTCGGACTGTTTTATAAAGCGAGGTATACCTGAGATGCGTGAATTTCTATGTTTGGACTTTCTGAATCATGAGACAAACGTTCCCTACAGCTTTCACCCTCTTTTATTTTGTCGAGGTCTTTCTTTCTCCCCTAGACTGGAGTGGCGTGATCACGGCTCACTGCCGCCCCAACCTCCTGGGTTCAGGCAATCCTCTTGCCTCGGCCTCCCGAGTAGCTGGGACTAGCACCGTCACCACGCTCAGCTAGTTTTTTCTTTTGTTTTTTTTTGTAGAGATGTGGTCTTGCTACATCACCCAGGCTGATCTTGAACTTCTGGCCTCAAGCAGTCCTCCTGTCTTGGTCTCCCAAAGAGCTGGGATTACAGGCGTGAGCCACCACATCCTGCCACCCTCTTGCTTCTTTTTTCCTTCACATGTTTCTTAGAGGGAGAAATGCATCTCAACTCCCCTTTTGTGATCCAGATGTTCCAACTGCTAGAACCCCGCCTCCTCCTAACCTTGCCTGTCCTCCTGCTGGAAGCTGTCCCCAAAGGCTGCTTAGCCCCACCTGGCCCCACCTGGCCCCTCTGGGGCCCTGCTCCAGTTCCCCCGTTGGGCCCTCTGGGGTGTGCCCAGGTAGCCGTCTGATGCTGAAATGCTCTGCGGGGCGTCCGCGGTTGTGAATCCAGGCGCCTCACGTGTGCCTGCCAGATGCAGCAGGGAAGGGTCGACCCCCTTCTGCACAGTCACTCACGCTTGCTTCTCTCCCCAGTGAGGAAGTGGCGTGTGAGAAATGCCCTGGGAGCCCTGGGCCCATGGCAGCTTGAAGTGGGAGAGCCAGCACCCTTGGGGACCCGGGGCCCAGGGCCCGAACTCATCACGGAGAGCAGTGCCAACGTACGTCCATCTGTCTGGGAGTCTCGCGGGTGGAAGTGAGGTGGGCTGCTGGCCCTCGAGGGCAGGCCGGCCTGGTCACGCCCTCGTCTGCCGTCTGAACACAGCACGCTGAAATGTCAGTGTCAGTGGGTACTGACTTGTCGTCCCACAGTGGCTCCAGGCCCGGCATGTCACAGCAGCCTCGGGGCCATGAAGAGTGGAGGGTCTCCTATTGTGTCCCGGGTTAGCACCTTGAGGAGGGCGGGAGCCACCCCTTCCCCAAGGACGGCCCTTGAGTTGGATTTGCCTTCTGCAGCCCATCTTCGTGCGCAAGGACACTAAGGTGAGCTTCCAGTGGCGGATTCGAAACCTGCCTTACCCCGAGAATGTCTACAGTGTCTGTGTGGACCAGAAGGAGCGCCGCGTCATTGTCCGGACGACCAACAGAAAGTGAGTCGTGTGGGGGCCCTGCCTGCCTGCGGGTGAGCAGGGTGGAGGCTGGGTGTGCTCTCGGGTTGGCTCTCAGACTGCTCCTACCCTGGAGGCTGAAGGGCCTCCTACCTCCTGCCCCCGAGGAGGGAAGGAAGGCCGAACAGAGAGCCAAGAGGCAGTGGGAGCAGAAGTTGTGGCGAGGAGAGGTTGTCTCTGCAGCTCCAGCTTGAATCATGTAGCCAGCAGCTCCAGGGCAGGCAGATTTGAACGAGAGTCTAAGACGGCGCCTGACCCTGAGCCCGAGTCTGTGTGGTGCCCAACACCTTGGGCAAGAGGCTAGTCCAGGACCCGCCATACCTGGGGAGGGCATCTATGCAGGATCCTCACACCTTGGGGAGAGTCTGTGAGGACCCTCCACTTGCTCGGGCCCAGTAAATTTCCTGCTGAATGAATGAGGAGATAAGGATATCACAGGCCCATGTGTGGGTCCTGGAGGGCAGGCGGTAGTGGGGGGGGAGGAGGACAGAAGCGGCCACGGGCATCTCTGTGGTGGACACGTACTGGTCGAGCTTCTGGAGTGCCGACTGGTCCCAGGAGAAGAGGGGTGCCCTGCAGGGAAGACCCTGAGTGCGGTTGGCCCTGGCCTGGGCCAGAGGGACCTTTGTGCAGGCCGACTCCCATGGGATGATTGCACATCTGGACGGTGCCTGTCCACCGCCGTGATGCCCGCCTGCGTGGCCCAGGGGTGCCGAGCCCGTCCGCGAGGCCAGCCAGCCCCTGCCCCCCACGCAGCAAGAGGGGGCAGTCCTCGTCCAGCCGCTCTGGCAACGTGGCGTCCCACTCCTCCCCCGGGTCCCTGAGTGCCACTGGCCTCTGCAGCCCCCACCCCCATCACGGTGGCAAGGCAGAGTGGACGGGGAAGGGGTGGAGATGGATGAATTAATTTCAGGGCTGTTGCTGTGCACGCAGCCAGCAGCCCTGCAGAGGGCCTCGCCTATAAATATGAAGTCGTAACCATGAGGCTTTGTGTATATAAAGCCCTTTGAAGCCCTCAGATAGAAGGCAGTTTATTCCCGTTATTGTTCTCATCATTAACTGGAGTCGGACTAACGTGGGGCTGAGCAGTTTCCGACACCAGAGCGATCGCCCACGGGAAGGCACACTCGCGCCTCAGCACCGTCGGCAGAAGAGGCCCTGGGCCCAAGCTGGGAGCGAAAGTGCTTCTCACAGCACTGGAATCTGCAGCCTGGCACTTTGCAGAGCTGGCTGCTGCCTCCCTCTTGTCCCCCAGGGGTCACTGTCGAACACAGATAATGCCAGGCGGAGACGCGATTGCCGGGGCTGGAGTGTGGAGGCGAGGGCCCAGCACAACGCCTCTGCGGCGGTTGCTCTGGCTCCGCCCCACGCCCGGCCGTAGATGGCGCTCTCGGCCAGGGTCCGCGCCAGCACCAGGGCAGCGGGACACTTTCGGAAGGATGGACGAGGCCAGGCGGGATGGGAGCGGGCCCAGGGCGGGGCCTGCACTCCATGGAGCGGGAGTGTTGCAGGCCCACGTGGATCCCACTCGAGCCTGGCCAGCGCCCCCACCGGCTCAGCCCTGCCCCCCCAGGCCCCTCTGCTGGAGTAGCCCACGGGCCGCTCCACCTCGCCAGACCTTTCCCGACCTTCAGCGCTGGCACCATCCGGCTGGGGTGCTGCGTGCCACCCTCACGCCTGCTGACTGCACAGGAGGCCGCGGCCCCCGAGGCACCTGACATCTCTGCCAGGGCCTGCCTTTCTTGGGATTCAGTGCTGTGCCTGCTTTCTGAGCCCCAGCATCTGCAGGCAGGCAGCATGCACATCTGTCCTCGTGCTGTATATCAGTGATGCTGCGACACACATGTGAAGCCAGCAGGATGGCCCTGTCCCCGATGCCTGCCCTGCAGCGTCCACCACGCCGTGGCATTTCTCTCTGACCTCTCCCTGCGCCTGGAGGTCCGTGCCTGCCCCAGTCCTGATATTCTGGAATGCAGTTGCTGTCCAAAGCCAGGGCCCCTTGTCCACAGCGGCCTTGTCCCTGGAGAACTGGGCTGGCTGCTTTCCCCGAAGGAACTGCTCAAGTGTGTCACGTCCCTGGCCTCAGACATCAGGGAGTCAGTGAGGGTGAGGGACGAGTCAGGGAGGGAAGAAGGGGCTTTCCCAGGACCCCAGTGTTGGACCATCTGTTCCTGATGCCGTTGGTGCAGAAAGAAGGTTCTTTTTCTTTTTGAGTTGGAGTCTCGCTCTGTTGCCCAGGCTGGAGTGCAGTGGCATGCTTGCGGCCACCCCAGCATGGTCCTGCCGGGCCCCGCGGTCCTTCCCCCTCAGCTTTCCACATGACCACGCCCTGCTAATTTTTGATTTACTGTAGAGACGGGGTCTCGCCAAGTTGCCCAGGTGGGTCTCGAACCCGCGGGCTCAGGCGATCCACCCACCATGGCTTCCCAGAGTGCTGGGATGACAGGCTGAGCCACCGCGCCTGGCCAGAAAGAAGGTTCGTAGCCCAGTCTGGAAGCTGGTGGCTGGGTGGACTGAGTGGGGGATGCCGGGATGGGCAGGCCCCTGCTACATGCTTGCTGCAGAACTGGGCCAGGTTTCTTTAGGTACCACAGGAGAACACTCCTACTGACCTCATAGGCTTGGGGGAGTTTCCTCAACGCGTATGTGGACAAGCGCCCAGCAGCTCTTTGGAAGCGACTCTGGACAGCACTCGGCTGGCCTGATATCGAGGACGCTAATGCTGTGGAGATGTTCACAGGCTTCGCTGGAAAGAAGGATTCAGTGGCAAGTCGGTGGGAAGAGGATGCAGGGGCTTCTCCGTGGGACGCAGAGCTGCTGGCGTGTGCACGTGCATCGTGACTCTAGAAGACCTGCTGGGGCAGGGCACAGGCTGCCTGGAGCCGCGATGTGGAAGGCCTGTCGGCCAGCTTCCTCGGGGTGGACTGGCAGGAGGCTTCTCTGGGCCCCTTGGCTGTGCCCATGTGCAGGCCCCCTCCCTGAGTGCGCGGGCATGGCCTGGGCGACTCCAAGCCCAGCTCTGCCTTCAGCCTCCGGAGTCTCCGGGCCTCCTCTGCTCCCTGCAAGGGCGCAGGGCTTGGGAAGGCCTGGGGCTGGGGCGGGGGCGCAGCAGAGGGCCACAGGAGGCCGCAGGGCATCTGCGAAGTAGCCAGATGAGGGAGGTCCCTGCTTGCAACAGGAAGACAAGAGCTCCAGAGGTGCCTGCCCTGCTGGGCCCTCTGCCAGTGACCCAAAGTCCATCCCGTGAGGGGCCTCCATTGAGAAGGGAATTTGGTGGATGAAACCGAGACCCAGACATGAAGTGGCCTGCCCAGGCCCCCGGCGGACCGGAGCACTGCTCAGGCCTTCACGGCCATGAAAGTCTCTTGAAGACATCAGACATTCAGAAAGAAAGGCCACTGATGTGCTGAAGAGCGCACCCAGGGGACCTGCAGGGTGCCTGGATCCCGGGGGAGACAGCCTTCATCGCTGACCACCCCAGCCCAGTGGCTGTCTCATCTCTGGACAGCTGCCGGGAACCCGGGTGGCCTGTTCCTTTGTGGAGAGAGGAAGGGCTGGGAGATCTGGGGCATTATCGCTTATAATGGGCATCTCCATGGAGCTTTGTGACTTGGGCAGGACATCTAGTTTTTCTGTGCCTCAGTTTCCTCTTTCGTAAAAGGAGACTAGACGTAACCAGCCTGAAGGGACTGTTTTGAGGATTCAATGTGTTTTGAACAGTGCCTGACACAAAATGAGCACAGTTTTTTAAATGTCACCTTTCATTTTCATTGTATGGCTGAGACAGAACAGGGAAGGGAGGTGGGAGGGGGTTGGGCACCACAGAAAGTAGGGGACCACCCTCTGGAAGGGTTTAGTTTTTAGTAGAAACAAAACCAGGTCTCCTCTGGCAGGGATATGGCGTTTCTCCTACATCCTCCGTCCCCAGCTCTCGGCTCCAGGCCTGGGACACAGCAGACGCCCGGCCATGTCTGCTGCCCACCTGTAGCTGCCTAAGGCCAGACACTCTGACCCTCCCTGCAGGGTGGGTCCTCTCTGGTCCAGGTGCTGGTGGGAAAGTCAAGTGCAGCACCCGGTGGGCAGACCATGGGCTGGGGCATGGAGGCGAGAGTGGTGGCCCCTGAGGAGGGAGGGCCGTGCCCCTGAGCACTGCCGTGCTTCTCGAAGTTGCCTGCCTCAACCCATAAACCACATGCATGACAGGGCTCAGCTCCGCAGAGGCCTGGGGCAGCCACCTCCTTCCCAGCCTCTGCTTGCCTCCCGTCCTGCCCTCCAGCCCCGCTGCTGCAGGATGGTCTCTGCTTTGTGCCTTTGCAGGAAGACGCTAACACTTCCTCACAGCCTGTAGCTCCCCTAATCTCTGCTGTTTAACCTTTGACTCTCCCCATTATCAGTGTCTGCCACCTTTGCTGGCCAGACCAGGGCCCCAGGAAGAGACCTGAGCCCTGGCGGGGAGGGCTGGGGCTGCTCCAGCCCGTGTGCAGCAGATGGACGCCTCTCCCTGGGGCAGAGCTTTGGAGAATAAAGCAACCTGCCGCGCCATCAGGCCCCGCCCCCACTCCTTTTGAACTGTCAGCCTTTGAGTAAACATTCTCTTCCTGCCAGTCCAGCACCTTGGAGGGAGTGGGGAGCCTGGGAGGAGGGGCCCCTGAACCAGGGATTTGGACCCGGCAGAGGTGCGCCTTGATGTCAGCTGAGTCCCCCGGGCACGGCTTTTGAAGTGGACTAGGGTGGCTGCCACCAGGCCCGCCCCTCTGAAGCCCTCCAGCCCACCCTCCCAGGCCCCGCCCCCAGTGTCGGTACCTGGCCGCAGCGGTTCCCACCGTCGCCCACACAGCCCTGACAGAGTGCCGCCTCACCCAGGTGACAGGTCTGGCAGCCCCTGGTCAGAGCCTGGGTGGCATTTCCACCCAGGTCGCCACCATAGGTCTACCCAGAGGTGTGACAGCCGCTCAGCACTCGAGTGGAACGGGCATCCCACCGGAGGCGAGGCCCCCACTCTGACCTCGCTCCCAGCTGCACCGACGGCTGCTGGGAAGCCAGGCAGGCTCGTCAGCTCCCTGCGCTGTGGGAGAGGGTTTGTGTCCCCTGCGAAAGCATTTCCAGCTGGGTGCTATCTGGCCTCTGTGTTTTGTTTCTTTTACTCGAAGGGCTCACTGATCTCCGGACTGGCACCCACAGATGAGAGCCCCATGTGTGGTGGGTGCAGGCGGGGCAGGGGCCCGGAGCCCCAGCTTCCAAGATGGGGGCACGGCTGGTCCCGGAGACTCCTCCAAGGGGCTGCTTTCCTTGGGGCCCGCACAGACTCAGGCTGACAGGCTTGGGAAGAGTCTGGAGAAGAAAAGGCGGCTAAGGCCTCCAGGGAATGTGCCTGGTACACGGTGACTGCAGGCCCAGCTTTGGGGGACAGCCCTCGGTGCACTTAGTCAGTCCTTGTCCGTTTTCTGTTGTGCCAAGGCAGGGTGCAGGGGGACCCAGGCCGCCCGAGCTGTCGTTTGCCCCGAGGCTGCTGCTGCCTGTCGCCAGGGACACCACCCGAAGTGAGAGTCAGGCAGCCCGGGTCTACACGCAGGCCCACCGCCGGATGGACTTGGGCCTGTGTCCTCTTCTTCCCGGGCCCACTGAGCCCTGGAGCCCAGGCGTCTGCTGGGTTCCTGCCCCTGGATGTGCGGGAGGTCTGGGAGAGCCTGGAAGCTGGGCCACAAGGGGCCTGACACGCTGCGTTGCCTTGCCGGGCGCCCCAGTGGCCTCTCGGTGTCCCCACAGGTACTACAAGAAGTTCTCTATCCCTGACCTGGACAGACACCAGCTTCCCCTGGACGGCGCCTCCCTGACCTTTGCCCACGCCAACGGCACCCTCATCATCTCCGTAAGACTGGCGAGTCCAAGGCGCCGGGGGGAGGCCTCCTCTAGCCCGCCCAGCCGTGTCCCTAGGATGCGCCTGCAGAGAGCAGGAACCACCTGCAGCCCGGGGGAGGCCCTTGGCGTCACCCAAGCTGGAGGGGAGTGGGGGTGAGCGGTCGGCCCTGCAGAACTTGGGCTGTCCCAGGCCGGCCACACCGTCCGGCCTGCCAGCCTGGTCTTCTCAGCGCTCCGCAGTGTCTTTGCACGCAGGTCGGGGATCAGAAGGGGCCCGTGTGTGGAGGGGAAGGGATGGGGCTGATGGCCTTTCTCCTGGCCCCGTCCACAGTACCGGAAGCCGAGGGAGGTTGTGGAGGCCGAGGCAGAGCTGCAGAAGGAGCTGCGGAAGGTGAAGACGGCCCCCGGCGGCCACGGGGACTGCACGACCCAGTAGCGGCCCGGCCTGGCGCCTGTGCCAGCCTCTCCCCCTGAGCTGCCCAGTCCAGAGGGCTGGACCTCGGCCTTTGGCTGCGGGGCGGTGGTGGTCTCGTTTCGGGAGTAAAGTCTTTCTGAGCTGCTGATTGCCCAGGCACTGCCCTCCTGTCCACCCTGCGAGCTCCTCCCCAAGGAGGACGCCGGGGTGATGGGCTCCTCTCCACCCTGGGGACCTGCGGCCTCCAGCCTTCGCCCAGAGGCGGGAGAAGTGGTGGAGCACAGGCTCTGGCCAGCACCTCCCCCAGCCTGGAGCACAACCCTGAGAACGGGCGGAGGGGCCCCCAGAGGACTCTGGAGGTCAGCCCGGGCAGGGACGTCTGAAAGTGCAGAGCCCTGACGCAGGGCGCGCCAGGCTAGGGCGCCGTGTGTGGAGAGCCAGAGTGGGGCCTGGCGCTGGCAGCTGCGTGCCGGGGTGGGGGTTCCACAGGTGTACACACAGCCCTGGTGGCCTGGAGCTCCCGGGCCCCTCCACAGCCGCAGGCGACTCCTCAAGGTTAACGGCCGGAGGGCGGGGGGGACCGTGGGAGGCTTCCAGAGGACAGGGATCCTTTGCGCCTCGGGCCCCAGAGCCCTGAGACGACCTTGTCCCTTCCCCCCACACATGGCCCCAGTGAGCCGCTGTCCCCTGCTCCCAGGGCCTCCCAGAACTACGAGGAAGCGGGCTGTGAACCACCAGGCTTTATTGTTACAAAAATGACAGCCGCAGCTTGTCTCCACAGCCGGCCAAGATGGGGCTGGCTCGGGCCTCAGAACTGCTGGTCTCCCTTGGCTCCTTCCTTGGCTCCAAAGCAAAGCCAGACCACGGTGCCCGAGGAGTGCACCCAGCCCGCGAGCTGGGTCAAGGCGGGCCGGCCAGGTGGAGTGGCTGGGGTCCTGGCATTCCCCCTCTCCTTCCGGGAAGGGGCAGCACAATACCAGCTGGGAGTGGGGGCACCACCGCTCCCCATTATGGCGCCCATGAGGCTGTCCTGGGAAGGGCATGCATGCCGGCGGGCCTCTCCACGCCGGGTCCTTGGTCCGGCTCCGGGGTCGCATGCCCCGCCTCAGCCACATGCAGAAGCGGTGAGTCCCAGCACCGACAGGCTCCTGGGAGGGCTGCGTCTCCGGCTGAGCCCAGAGCCCCAGGAGTCAGACGCCCCCGCTTCAGGGGCCGAGCTCTGGGGTCACAGGTCCAGGAGCACGGTGGCTGTGGGAGGGGCTGGCACGCACCCTCCCGCGAGAGGTCCCTGAGTAGCTGGCTTCCCGGCCCACAGCAGGGGCGGCCCTGGCGGTCACGGGTTCTGAAAATCCAGGCCGTGGAGGCTGTAGGACAGCGCGGCATAGAGGTGCCTGGTGGTGAGCCGTAGGCAGTACACGGGGCTGCTGAGCGGGGTGGGGGTCAGCGGGAAGGCCTGCGGGGCAGAGAGGGGTCAGGGCCTCCGGGCGGGAAGCGGGCGCCCTGACCCGGCATCCCAGGCCCGTGAACCAAGGCCACGGCAGGCGGGCGCCCCGGCCCTCGCCAGGCCGTCCTCGGCCACGTCCCTCCCGAGAGGCTGCGGGGCGGGCAGGACACTCACGTGCAGGCAGGCTCTCTGGCGCCGGTCCCACAGCTGCACGACGCCGTAGTAGGAGGAGCCTGTGGCCAGCAGGTGGTTGCCGTCGGTCTGCAGGCAGTACAGGGTGCTGTTGTGGGGCTCCTCCCACTCCATGACGCACTTCCTGCGCAGAGGAGAAGAGGCAGGAGGTCCCGGGGTGCAGCCAGGGCGTCGGGGCACGGGGCCGGAGACGAGCCCGAGCCCCAGGCCCCTTCGCCAAGCCCGGCCAGGGCCGACTCCGGAGAGGAGGGCAGCGAAGGCCGTGGGAGGGCCGGCACGGCGCCCTCCCAGCACCTGACAGCTCGGGCGCCGAGGCGTGCTCACCCAGCCCGGGCCTGCTGGCCGCTGTCTCCCAGGCCCCTGGGCCAGCACTGCCCAGGCACGCCTCTGGGCCCCTCACGGCCCGAACTGGAAGGACTGGGATTGGCACGCGGCTCCCACTTACCGGACACTGGCACGGAGGTCCCAGTAGCGCACGTAGGTGTCATAGCCACAGGACAGCAGCGTGGACGGGGACTCGTACATGACGTCCAGCACCCCGGCCCCCAGGGGAAAGTCGCTGCCCAGGTGTGTCACCAGCTGCCCGCTGGGGAGAGGAAGGCCAGGTGAGGGCTGCCCCGCGGTGGCCCAGCCCGCAGAGGCGGAAGCCTGGGTAGTGCCGCGCTCCTTCCCCGAGGGAGGGGCCTGCCCAGTGCCCCGAGGCCACCATCACACCTGCGCTCCTGGCTGTCCTCGGGCTGAATGGCCTGGGGGCCGCCCCGCCCACACACACTTGGCTACTTTATACTCCCTGATCCTGCAGGTCAAGCAGCTCTGAGCTGCCGAGTCCAAAGCCCTAATTCCCGCCTGTAATCTGGGGCTCAAGCCTCGTTGGGGATAAAGACCACACAAAGGGCGCAGGGGCGTCCCAGGAGATGTTCAAACAAGCAAACACCTTTGTGTCTGGGGAGCGAAATCGCTGAGAAAGCAGCTTAGCGGGCTGTCCCTGGTGCTCCTGGCCCGCTGCCCCCAGCCCGGGCTCGCACGCCTCTGTGATCACAGCCCCCGGCCTGCGGGGCTCCGGCCTCCCCACCCCCACCCGGGCCGAGAGCAGATTACCGAGGAGAAACTTCTTTGTGACTGTGTAATTCCCTCCGTGACCGCGGCAGTGGGCAGACCCCTTGCCCCGATGCCAGGCCCCTAGCAACCACGCAGGGGGGCCTTCCGGCCCTAGCAACTGCCCCTCAACATCAAGTGCACCCGCTAATCCCTGTGGCCAGGGCCGGGTGGAGGCACGGAGTTCCTGCAGGAAGGCCGGGGACCATCCAGGCCCGGCACCTCAGCCTCCCCTGCGGTCGGGCGCGGGTCCTCCGTGGCGTGGGAACCGAAACATGGCTGCGGGTGCCTCCCGGGCACATCTGCCCCAAAGGCGGGCACCTGTGCGGCGGAGAAGGCTTCGAGGGCCACGGGCCCCGCCTGGGCCCACGCCGCGTCCGAGGCAGACAGGCTGCCGGCCTCTCGGGCGAGTGCGGACGGGGCCAAGGTGCTCTCGCTCGGCCCCCCGCTGGCAGCCTCCCTCCTCCCCGCAGGCTGAAGGAAGCAGGGAGCCCTCTGCCCGCCCTGCCCCCTGCCCTGCCCTGGGAGCCCTGGGCAGCGAGCCGGGTAGGTGGCCCGAGTCACCACCGGGCTGGCCTCCCTCCACAGGGCGGCACCTGTCTTCCTCCCAGGGGCCCAGCCCTGGGCTGGGGGGAGAAGGTGACCAGCCTCCCCAGCAGGGCAGGCTCTGGAGCCCCAGGGACGCTGGGTGCACACAGGCGGGGACAGCCGCGCTCTGGCCTTCCTCCCAGGTTCGAGGCTGCCCCTCCATTATGAGACCGTAGGAATGGCGGGGCACTCTTTCATCTAGCGTAATTTCACGTCTGTCTGTCTGAAATGGGAGATGAAAGGCAGTGGGTGGGGAGCAGTGAAACCCAGCAGGCGCTGCCCTCCACCCGGGGCCCCGCGTCAGCGGAAGGAGAGCTGGGCACAGGCACACCCAGACAGGGTGCCGCCTGGCCCTGCCCGGCGTCTGAGCTGCCCCGAAACACGCAGTGAGGAGTGCAGAGCTGCCCAGAGCCCTGCTCTCTGGGGAGCCCTGGGGCCCTTGGCCTGGCAGCCCAGCCTGGCCAGGGGCTGCGTTCTCTCTGCCGGGCTGTGCTCGGCTCTGAGATGGCCACACGCACGTTCGGCGGCCAATAGAAAGATACTCGCTCCGCCTCTGGGGCCTGGGGCCCTCGAGGCTCTGTGGTGCAGGCCCGCCCGTGAGGTTAAGTTCAGAGCAGGAACGGACACTCCAGGCTCTGGAAAATGGCCCATCTCTCCCAGTCGGGTCGGCAGTGCCATGGGAGCCCTGCTGGGCTTTGATTTGGGAAAACACACAGAAATGGCACCGGGGCCTTGGCGCCCCACCCCAGGACCGACTTGACTGCACGGCTCTGGCTCGACTGCTCCAGCAGGACGGACGCCGACAATAGCACCAAACTTCGGGGGAAGGGGACAAAGAAGCCCCTGCCGCCGCCCCCCCCCCCCCCCCCCCCCCCCGGCGCCTTTTCTTACTACAAGTGTGTTCTTGCAAAAACGATTAGATTGCAATTTGTATAACGTGGCGACCCCCAAGTTCAGACATCTCACCCCTTTTCTCTGGAAAGAATGCTAAGAATGCTTCTCGGCCTCTCTCTGTGGGGTGCGAGCGGGCGCAGAGCCCCGGCTGCCCACAACTTGTGTGGGAACGGGGCTGCCGCGCCGAGCCCGGCCGGGCAGGAGCCGGGCCCAGCCTGTCACTAGGGAGGGCCAGACCAAAAGGGCCTCCCTTCCAACTCCTGTGGACAAAGCCAGTCTCAGGAGCAGCCTGGGCTGGGGGCCTCCACGTCCTGGCCTCCCCAGCCTCTCTCTCAACCCAGGGAAGATAAAGACGGACAGGGCCGCCTGCGAGCCTGACGGGCGAGATGGGCTGGGAAGACCGCAGGGGCCGCACCTGGGCAGGGAGAGGCCAGCAGAATGCAGAAACTCGGGTCCCTCCTCAGCCCCACAGCTCGGCCACTCCATGGCAGCTGGACTTCCTGGGGACTTCCTGCCAGCCAGAGTGGAGGGAAACTTAAATGAGACACGGACACCATCACGTCACCGTGGGGACAGCCACCTGCAGCGGGGCCCTGAGCGCCAAGCCACAGTGGGCTGGCAGGCTTGCAGAGGCACACGGCCCGGTGCGCCGCAGCCTGCTTCTCCCAGCCCCACTCTCCTGCCAGCTCCTGGTCACTGCGCCCTCCTGGCCCTGCCCACGCTGTTTCCAGGTACTGGTGACACACTGGACTCCTGATGTCCCCTGGAGACCGCCTTTGTGTGTGAGGACCAGTCCGGCACGTGTGGCCCTGAAACGCAACAGGGGCGTCTGGGGAGAGAAAGGATGGAGGTGACAGTTGACCTCCCACCTCCTCTGCCATCCGGGATGGCCGGGCCCAACGCGGCTGCGAACGGGAGGCGCTCCTCCTTTCCACCAACCGCCACTTGCTGGGCACCGTCTGCAGACAAGGCGCACTGTGCTTGGAGGCTGCAGGTGATGCGGGCAGGGACTTTTTGAGGTTTCAGGCCAGGGAGGCAGCGGGTCTGAGCCACGCGTCCAGCCAGCAAGGCAGTGTGGCCCGGTGGGCCCCTTGGAGAGAGGCCCCAGAGCTGGCAGGCCCCAGAACACCGAGTCGTCACCGAGGGACAAGACGGAGGGTCGAGACCATGGCAGGCCACACAGGGGCGGGAAGAGGCCCAGGCGGCAGGAGCTGTGGCCACTTTGCAGGGCACGGGTGCGGGGATCGTGCAGTGGCTGGCAGGCTGGCCTGGCTGGAGGCTCAGGGGCGTGCTGGCGGGAGGGGGCCTACCAGCTCCGGAGTGGCAGCGCCGAGCGGCTTTCGCGCAGGAGTGGACTGTCCTAGCCTGGCCCCCGACTGCCAGAGGAGGCACAGGGCCTCAGGCACAAGCAACTTTCCCCGACAAGGCCGAGCTCTCGGGACGCTGGTGAGCAGCAAGAGCGGGAACTCACAGAAGGGCCTGTTCCCGCCAGGATGCCGGGCCAGCAGGCGGCTGCGCGGGACGCGGGCCCAGCCGAGCCACGCTGCCCGGCGCCCTGTGGGACGCCTTACACGCATCGGCCGCGCACCCTGACAGCAGGCCTAAGAGGGGCGCGCCTTCATCCCATCTCACGGGTGAGGAAACGGAGGCTCCGTGTCTCACACACACACGCGTCCGTGCCACAGCCCCTGCCCTCCGTGCCCTCAGACGGCACAGCCATGCGGCCCCTGCCCCCGGACCGCTGTCCAGGTGTGCCACGGGGCTTCCGCCAGCCTCCTGCTTCTGGCAGGACAGGCGAGGACTCCCGGGGCTGACCCCCGACGGCGAGGGGGAGGTGCCGCCCGGCCTCGCTGCCCCGGCCCGGCAGTGAGGGACGGCGTCCCAGGCACGCAGCCCCTCACGCGTGTGTACGCGCCTCCAGCGCCCGCCCGCGCACACGTGTTCAGACACAATGGCTCAAAGGCCGGCGGCCGGCAGCCACTTTGTACTGCTAACAAGGCCCATAATTACAGGAAGGGGCAGCGGACAGATAAAAGGATACAAAATTTCAACATCTGTTGCCATAAAGGGATAAGGAGAAGTGAGACGCAAAGTACCAGTTTGGTGTCAGCAGGCAGAGAGCCCGTTTCAAAGAGTTCAGGGGGACAGAGGGGACAAGAAAGCAAAAGGAAAGGGGGGAGAGAGAAAGAACGAGAGAGAAATTACAGGGTTCCTGAAAGAGGTGAAGAAACAAAGCATGAAAGAAGCTGTCAGCAATGCTTTCAAAGGAGAGGCAGGTACTTTAAGGAGGGGGACTCCCAGGCGGGTAATCGCCCTGACCGCCGGGCCCACGCGGCTCAAAGGGGCTCCGCCAGGTGTCCCTTGCCGTTCCGAGGGGCACCAGATGCCCCGCCTCTCATTGGCTGTGTTCAGGGCAGGCACACCAGGGTCTGTTTCCAGCCAGGCCACATGCATGCGTGCTCGGACACGGGAGCGGTGGGAAGGGCCGCCAGCTCCAGCCACGGGTCTGGATCAGGGAGGGCTTTGTGGTGGCGCATGGTTGCGTCGGGTCCAGATGGGGTTTCCAGGCCTGGCTGGCTTGAGCGAAGGCTCAGAGTGGAACACGGGCATCTGCTGGGATGGGCAAGACGGTGGAGGGGCCGGAGGGGCTTTAGGACAGGGAGCGGTGGTGACCTGGCCCAGAGGGGAAAGGGACACACGTGCTCACACGTGTGCAGGGCAGCGCGGTGTCCAGCCAAGGACTCAGTCCCCTGGGAGCGGCCAGGTCGCCAAGCGCCCCCACCTCCAGGCTGGCTCAGGGCTGTGGCTGGACCCTCACGACCGACACCCTCGGATCAGGCCCCAAGCTGCCCTGTGGCAAAACGAGGAGCCCACAGCAGGAGCGAGACCACGGGCGAGCAGCCAGAGGGGTGCCCCTCTCGGTAGGCACCCGACACCTCTCCCGGGGGGAGCCCAGCCCTGTGCAGGTGCAGGACACACGGCCGCCCTCAGCTGCTACAGGCCCGGGCT